CTCGTCCTCGTCGTCCTCCTCCTCCTCGAACGCCTTCGAATACCTGCGAGAAATGAGCGACATTGCGAAAAACAGCGAAAGCCATTGGAAAAAAAACCCAAAAAACTAGGATTTCGGGAGAACCTTGGCCTCCCCCCCCCCCGAAGTTCTCCCGAAATCATAGTTGTTTTTGCTTTTTTTGTTTTTTTTTGTTTTCTCAAGCGTTTTTTGTTTGATCCTCCTCCCCCCCCCCCCCCTCTCCGCCCCCCTCTCCCCTCTCCGCCCGCCTCCTCCCCCTCCCCATCCTCTCCTCCTCCCTCCCTCCTCTCCTCCCCCTCCTCCTCCTCCTCCTCTCCTCATCCTCCTCCTCCTCCTCCTCCTCGTCCTCCTCCTCGTCCTCCTCCTTCGGCATAGTACAAAACAATATTGGTTCATACGTGAGCGCACGCGTCGCGCCGATGGCCCTCGGCGCCGACTGCGTAGCGCCCAATGCGCGCTCGCAGGGCGCGGCCGCCCGCTCACTCGGGCGCAGGGCCGAAATAACTTGTTTTTTTCTTCACCCGCCCTTCCTCCTTTTCCCGTCCTCGCCAGCTGCCAGACGCAATGACTGGTTGGGCCCGACATTGCGCCAGGCCGCGGCTGGCGGCACGCCGCCGCCGTAGGCGGGGTTGCCGATGAACGCAAACTCGTACGCCATGCTGGAGGCGGGGAATGGTTTCGCACCTGCGTTTGAGCACAGACGGCTGCGTAAATGGCATCGAACTGTGCGTTGTTTCAGATGACAGCAGCAACGCCATCAGCGCCACAAGCACCAGCACCACCACCAGCAACAGCACCAACAGCATCAACGCCAGGATCACACCTGCATTGCTTTCGCTCCAACCATGAAGCGGCATGATTTGCAGTATGATTGTTTCCTTTACTGATTTCGGGCTGCGTAATAAATCACGTTCAACTGAATAGTGTTTTTTTCAGAGGCGGAGGTGGGAACCCATTTTTTGGGTTCCCCTGTTTTTCCTCCCTTGAGCCCGCAAATAAAAATCCTCATCTCTATTCCTCTGCCTCGCTCCTGCCCCCCGACCCCGCCCCGCTCTCTCGCCCGTCCGCGGCGCTCTTCCTTTCTCCGCCTGGCAGGCGCTCGTCCGCTAGCCCCAGTGCCAGTCGGGCAGCGGGGGCTCGCGCGGGTTCAGGTGGAGGTAGTGCGTCCTCCACCAGCGCAGCTGGCGGAAGAGCCGGTCGACCTGGGCGCGCGGGCAGACAGCGCAACCCCTTGTCCCCGAACCCCCAGCTAAGCGAGAGGGGTAGTTTGTTTTGTTGTCCCCTTGACCTGCTTCTTCTTCTCCTTCTCGGTTTTCGCCAGCTCGGCCTCCGCCACCCGCTTCTGTCGCAGGAGTTCTTGGTTCTCCTTCTTGAGGTCTCTGTTCAGCTTTCTTTCGTGCTGCACGTCAAGGCAGTTCATGAACCTCTCGTGGGCGCGGCCACCGCGCTCCAGTTCTAGCTCCTGGCGAACGCTGGAAGACCAACAGCACGCCCAAACACCTGCGTTCAGTTTCGGTTGCGGCGAGAGGCGCCGCAAAGCAGCACTACTCGCCGAACCAAAACTACAAGGTGGGAGGGTTCGTGCGGCTGGTCTCTCAGTCCCCCGCTGGCCTTCTGTTTCTGCTTGAGCTCCTTGTGCTTGGCCGCCTCGGCCTTTAGCAAGGCCTTGTTGGCGCTGGTGAGGCCCTTGTTCTTGAGGGCCCAGTCGCGCGCCTGTGCGGAGTGCGCGGGACATCTGTTGATATGTGTTCCCCCTTGTGTGGGTTTGAGGGGTCCGCTTCTCGGTGTCCTCTGTGGGGGGGTGTTTGGATACGGTTGCCTTCTGGCGCCAAAGAGCTTTCACCTTCAGCTCTGTCTCGTAGATCCCGTAGAAGTCGGGGAAGAGCTCCTTCCTCTTGGCGTCCAACCGCGCGCGCTTGCGCTGTTTGTTCCGCGCCTTGTTGTACTCTTTGCGCGTCTTGTTCTTCAGCGCCCCATGCTTTTTCCTACGTCTCCCCATGCTGGGTGGTTTGAGCAACAACGCCACTAGATATAGCGATTTACGACACGTTGCAAAATCATTTCCCTTCCTCCTCCACATGCTCATCCTCGCCCCGTCCTCCTCCTCCTCCTCCTCTTCCTCCTCCTCCTCCTCCTCTTCCTCCTCCTCCTCCTCCTCCTCCTCCTCCTCCTCCTCCTCCTCTCATTGTCCTCCTTCCTCCACCTCTTCCTCTCCAAGCGGGGCGAAATGCCCTCCACGTTGCAGTCTCGACAATTGGGTTGAGACGGATTGAGATGCAGTGCGACTGCGACTTGCACCCCGCGAGGGAAGCAGAGGATGAGGAGCAGGAGGAGGAGGAGAGATAAGATAAGGAGATAAGGAGATAAGAATGAGGAGAGGAGGAAGATGAGAAGGACGACGAAGATGAGGAGGATGCACCCCCCCCTCCCCAGTCCGTCGTTTGGGGGTGCTGGGGGGGGGGGGGCAAGCTGTATGTATATAGTCATGTTTTTGTGTGTGTGTGTGTGTCTGTTTGCGTGTGCGTGTGCGTGGTGTGTGTGGGCGTGTGTCTGTGTAAGTGAAGTGTATGTGTGTGCGAGGGTGTGTGTGTGTGTGCCACCTTCGACTTTGTCACGGGCTGCGACCTCAACGACGAAGGCCAACAGAAAGTCGTGGAGCGATGCATCCGACAGCGCCGGCCCCTAGTGACCATCATGGCACTCACCTGCCCGCCTTTCGTTCGGTCGTTGGGCCACCTTTACCTACAAGTGCAATTACCGCGCTTGGTTGGGATCTTGCGAGGATGCAGAACCTCGTTGACGACTGTGCTTCTACATGGCTCATCTGCAGCTGCAGTTCGGCGGCTACTTCGAAAACCCGATTCATCGCGGCGGTTCGCCGTTCCGCATTGGCCAGACGTAGTATCAGCACCAGGCTGAGGTAATCTTCGACCAGTGCCAACTGGGAATTGTTGACGCTTCGCGAATCCCCACCAGCTCCCTTGGCTCAAGCCCTTGGCTCAAGCCTCTGGCTCAAGCCTTGGCTCAAGCTCAAGAACCTGCCTGCCGTGGCTCCGCGCGACGCGGTGACCGCCATATGCCGCTGAGCATGCTCGCATATCTTCTCCCACGCTGATCTCCCATGCTAGAGCCAGCGTGCTGCCGCCTGCAACGCTCCGTCGTGCCATCGCTCTGGTATTCTTGCCATCGCTTCGGTATTCCTGACGATTCGCGGCGGCGCCGCGGGCGTCACGGGCGCCGCGGGCGCAGCGTACGCTGCTGGCGCCGCCAGCGCCGCCTTCGCCGCCAGCGCCACGGGCGCCGTGGGCGCTGCGGGCGCCGCGGGCAAAGTTCGGGTTTTCTCACGACCAGAAAACCTGAAACACGACAAGAGAAAACTGAAACACGACAAGGCATTGCTTATTCACGACAAGCATTTTCGGCCGCCCACTTTCGCCGCCCACTTTCGCCGCCCACTTTCGCCGCCCACTTTCGCCGCCCACTTTCGCCGCCCACTTTCGCCGCCCACTTTCGCCGCCCACTTTCGCCGCCCACTTTCGCCGCCCACTTTCGCCGCCCACTTGTCGGCGCCCACTTTCGGCGCCCACTTTCGCCGCCCACTTTCGCCGCCCACTTTCGGCACCCACTTTCGCCGCCCGCTTTCGCCGCCCGCTTTCGGCGCCTACTTTCGCCGCCCATCTTCGCCGCCCACTTTCGCCGCCCACTTGGGGCGCCGAAAGTGGGCGGCGAAAGTGGGCGGCGACAGTGGGCGGCGAAAGTAGGCGCCGAAAGCGGGCGGCGAAAGCGGGCGGCGAATGTGGGTGCCGAAAGTGGGCGGCGAAAGTGGGCGGCGAAAGTGGGCAGCGAAAGTCGGCGGCGAAAGTGGGCGGCGAAAGTGGGCGGCGAAAGTGGGCGCCGAAAGTGGGCGGCGAAAGTGGGCGGCGAAAGTGGGCGCCGAAAGTGGGCGCCGAAAGTGGGCGCCGAAAGTGGGCGCCGAAAGTGGGCGCCGAACGTGGGCGGCGAAAGTGGGCGCCGAAAGTGGGCGCCGAAAGTGGGCGCCGAACGTGGGCTTGCCAGTCGTGAATCTGTCTCTTCCTTGTCGTGAAGCTGCTTGTCGCGAAACCATCCCGGCCATGCCGCGGGCGCAGCGCGCGCCGCGCGGCGCTGTTGGCGCCGCCTGCGCCGCGGGCGCCGCGGGTGCCGTGGGCGCCGTGGGCTTTGCGGGTGCCGCGGGCGCCGCGGGCGCCGTGGGCGCCGCGGGCGCTGCGGGCGCAGCGTGCGTCGCGGGCGCCCGGGCGCCGCGGGCGCCGCCTGCGCCGCCAGCGCCGCAGGCGCCGTGGGCGCCGCGGACGCTGCGGGCGCCGCGGGCGCCGCGGCTGCCGGCGGGCGCCGGGACTTCCGATTCTCTAGTGATCGCGGCCCTCTGCCGCCATTCTGACACCATCGTAGGCTCCTCTCTTTCACCCTGGATGTGCGACCTTTTGTCGTGCAGGAGGGTGTGCCCCAGCTCGGTGCTCTTCGATGCGCACCAACAGTGCGACCGTTTGTCGTTACCCTGGCACCCCTGGCAGACACGTTGTGTCTCGTCGTAACCCAGCAATCCTGGCGGGCACGAAATTCTGCGGACAGGTCTGGCGGTGCCACAGGACAGGCGGACACCCCCTTGGCCCTTTACCCCTTGCGGCGTCCTTAGGGCAGCAGTGCGGTGGGCGCCTGAAAGGCGTTTTACAGCGCCCCCTCCTGGAGACAGTATCGCGGCGATAGTTGGCAGCGCTGCAGAGGGCGCGCCCGCGCTCGGAGACGTTCCTCGCAAAATAGACAGCCAGGAGCTTGTTTCCGAAAGTGCGGCCTTCAGCTGCAACAGTCCCCAGGGAGAGTTTCAGACTGAACTTGTGGTTGTCTGCCATAGCGTGCCGGTCCCTCCCCGTCCTCGTCATGGGCGGATCGTCCTCCTGGCTGCCCCTCGCTTCTATCAGCGCCATTGGGGCAGCGTCGGTGTGGAGACTGCAGATGCGACCCGAAGCGCGCCCACTCCTGGAAATATTGCCACGGGGACAAGTGGGGGCGCTGCCGCGTGCGCGCCCGCGCTCGGAGACGTTTCTTACAAGTCTGACAGTCACGAGTTTGTTTCCGAAAGTGCAGCCTTCAGCTGCAGCAGTCGTCAGGGAGCGCCATAGACCGAGCACGCGGTTGTCAGCCACCGCGCATCTACTTCTCCTCCCCCTGGGGACCGGCGGGCGAACCCCCATTGTACTCCTCGCTCCTATCAGCGCCCCTGGGGCTGGTTCGCGGAGGAACCCAGAAATGCCGTCGAAAGCGCGCCCTCTCCTGGGGACAGTATCGCGGCGATAACTGGGGGTGCTGCAGAGGGCGCGCCCGCGCTCGTCGGAGACGTTCCCGTTCCTCTGAATGCAAACGCTCAGGAATTTGTTGCCGAAGGTGCGGCCTTCAGCTGCAAGAGTCCTCTGGGGGAGCTCGAGACTGGTCAGGTGGTCGGTTGCCACGGCGCGTCGGCCCCCCCCCCTCCTGGGGCAGGCGGGCCCCCGCAGCGCCCCTCGCTCCTATCAGCGCCCCTGGGGCAGGTTCGCGGTGGAGGCCGGAAATGCGCTCGAAAGCGCGCCCCCTCCTGGAGACAGTATCGCGGCGATGTCTGGGGGTGCCCGGGGCGCTGCAGGGGGCGCGCCCGCGCTCGGAGACTTTCCTCATAACTGTGACAGTCAGGACTTAGTTTCCGAAAGGGCAGCCTTCAGCTGCAACCGTCCTCTGGTAGCGCAACAATCCGACAGTGCGACAGAGCAGGCGGGCACCCATTCGATCCCTTACTCCTATCAGCGCCCCTGGGGTAGCAGCGCGGTGGAGGCCGGGGAGGCGCTCGACAGCGCCGCCCCTCCTGGGCGCAGGGCCCTGGCGACAGTCGGGGGCGCTGCAGGGGGCGCGCCCGCGCTTGGAGACGCTCCTCGCAATATGGAGCCTCAGGAATGCGTCGCGGGAAGTGCGGGCGCCAGTTGCAGCGGCCTTCAGGGGGGGGAACACGCGGTCGTCTGCCGCAGCTTGTCGCCCCTTCCCCGTCCTGGAGACCGGCGAGCGGGCACTCGTGACACTCGTGCGGCCCCTTGCCCCCATCGGCGCCCCTGCATGGGGCGGCAGTGCGGCGGGGGCCGGAAAGGCGCTCGACAGCGCAGCCCTTCCTGGAGACAGTACCCTGGCGACAGTTGGAGGCGCGCCCCGCCCGCCGCAGCTTGACGCCCCCCCCCTCCCGGAGGCCGGCAGCTGGACGCCCGTTCGGCCCGTTGTTCCCATCGGCGCTCCTGGGGCAGCAGTGCGGCGGTGGCCGGAAAGGCGCTCGACAGCGCTGCCCTTCCTGGACGCAGTGCCCTGGCGACAGTTTGGATCGCTGCAGTGGGCGCGCTCGCGCTTAGACGTTCCTCGCAAGAATGAGCCCCAGGGGGGCGCATCGGGAAATGTGGCCGCTCGCTGCAACAGTCTCCCGTGAGTGCTCGGGAGTGAACAGGTGGTCGTCCGCCGCAGCGCGTCGCCCCCTCCCCTCCTGGAGACCGGCGGGCGGGCGCCCAACGGCCCCTCGCGCCTGTCAGCGCCCTTGGGGCATCAGTGCGGTGGAGGCCGGGGAGGCTCTCGACAGCGCGCCTCCTCCTGGACGCAGGGCCCCGGCGACAGTCGGGGGCGCTGCAGAGGGCGCGCCCGCGCTTGGAGACGCCCCTCACAATGTAGAGTCTCGAGAGTGTGCACAACAGTCTTCAGGAAGACTTCGAGAGTGAGCACGCCGTCGCCTGCCTCAGCTCGTCGCCCCCCCCCCTGGAGGCCGGCGAGCGGGCGCCCATGCGGCCCCTCACTCTTGCCGGCGCCCTTGGAGCAGCAGCGCGGCGGAGGCCAGGTAGGCGCTCGAGAGCTCGCCCCTTCCTGGAGGCAGTGCCGCGGCGGCAGGTGCGCGCGCTACAGATGGCGCGCCCGCGCTCAAAGACGTGCCTCACAGGTTAGAGCCGCAGGAGTGTGTATCGGAAC